TGAGGATGCCCCCTGAGGCTCCAGGGAGAGTATTCAAGTTTGTTGAACCGTTTAGGCGCTAGCTTTTTGATAAAGCTATGATCGAAATTGTCTCTTTTCATTTATTGGATACAATGAACTGAACATGCACTTTCCTCTATTTTTGCTTTGATTGCATTGCATTTGTCGTCTGAATTCAGTCCACGTATGTTCCAGTTCAAAATGTTCTAGTTTCTACTCTGATGGCTGCCTTGGTTGTTATAATCCATCGAAATTGAAGTGGCGTGACCGAAGGTACCCCAACCATAGGCGGGCTACCATAGTATTATGACAGAACCATAATAAAGCAAGAAAACCACCATTCAAAGAGTAGCCACAACACCAAAAAAGGGAGGCGTTATCAGGATAACCATATTGAACCCAGCTAAAATAAGCCAAATCTGAATCTGCATAAGAACTGACACCAATCCAACACGAGTAAGTCTGTGGACTACCAGGGTAATGACAAAGAAGATTGCAAGTCCAATGACCAGAAGTATTGCACCAACTAAACAACAGACACATCCAAAACAGTTTCAGGACAGGCTTTTTATAGCAGCTTAACACAGGACATACACAGGACATTCCCTGTCGAAATAGAAGTCTTTGGGGGCACTATCCATTGATAACTAGTGGCATGTTCTCTTGGCTACTCCTCTCTTCATTGGTTTCAAGCTCTATTCTTGATGCAGTTAGTAGCTCTGCCGTCACCTTCGAAGGATCGATTCGGCACTTCTGGATTGCCACCTTCTGAATTTCAACAACAGGAATTTCAGGGTAAGCACAACCCATTTCAGCACATTTCTTTAAGTCAGATAAGCCAGGAAAGTCGACGCCAGGGCATGTATGAGGAAGTAAAATCTTATCCATGAGAGAAGATTGTGAAGCAACTTTCTTGCCCTTAGTCTTGCTTCTGGTGGTGGGGCCCTTTGAGGAGGATGCTTGTTCGGGTTTGTGGCCATCAAGAGCAGTGTTCAGTCGACTGTCTGAGGTTCTTGACTGAAACAGGAGTGTTGCACCTTCCTTTCTTAGTTTTCTTGCCAGTGTTTTCCTGTACATCAAGACGGTCATCAATTATCGTGTAATCGTCTGCTGGTTCAGAGAAAATAGGAGTTATTTTCTGTTGCACTTGATCCTTTTCGTTCTCAGTCCTTCCTTTGAGCTTTTTTCTGTGGTACACTTTTGTGATTGGAGGACTTCTGGTGAAGGATGCTATGATCTGCCGCCTATCTTTCCTCATATCAGGGGTGTTATTGTTGATAGGTCCTACTCCAAAAGTGTTGGCCTGACCAAGAATGGACATAGTGATATCAAGCGAGGTAATGCCCAGAGCAGCTAGGTCAATGTGTATGATGGAGCCAGGAATAGTCAAGCTGCCCAGGAGCCTTGAACCTTGGGTGTTAATCTGATTGCTCATCATCTGCCTAAAACCTTCAAGCAACAAATTGGTGATGTCCTCTCTCTGAACCCTGGTAGACACAACAGCTGGGGAAGCACACACCATTTGTAAGTTGTTGCCCTGAGAACTAATTTTGTGGTGGCCAATTTCAGGAATAACGTTCTGTTCCTCAACAGGCTGATCTCCAACAATGATTTCACTGCTTTGTCCTTCTCCCATATGGAAGTGTTGGGAGTCAGCAGCCACCGACGGCAGACCTGCAAATTCACCTTCGGGAACAGCATTGAAAGGAGGTGAAGGATGCAGTTGAGAGATGCAACGCGTGAGGGAGCCTTGGACTATATTGAGTACTAAAGGGTCATTAGGAGCATTGGGGTTAAGCGCCCACTCAATCTCCTTGTTTGCAGCGAGGGATTTTTTCTTTGGAGCCCATTTATGCTGAAGGTCCAGATGCCGTTTGACACAATACTTGGCTCGATGGCCATAATTATAGCAATACAGGCATCTAAAGGCACTCGTACAGTCTTTGATGAAGTGATCAGCACCCAAACATCTGAAGCAGACGCGATGAAGACGATTGAGAGTGGATCTGAGAAGGTCACCTCGATTAGGAGGTAGCTCAATTAATTCTTGGGATGGCTTCTTGCTGGCTTGGGGATAAGACCCATCATTAATCATTTCAGCCGGCTGAAGGTTGGCAGCCTGCTCAATGTTGCCGGCCTGATAAATGCTAGTCGCTTGATTAGGAACACTTTGAACAATATGAACATCAAGCTCACCATTGACATTGTGAACACCAAGAACACCTGAAGACGCCTGAGAGATTTTGAGGGATGGCTTGTGCTCAGGATCCCTTCCAAGACCAGAGGCAGCTGTGGAGAAAACCGAATCACTGCTAGAAGTAGTGATAGGACAGAAGAACTTGCCAATCTTGATGACCGGGCCAATCTCAGTAGGACGATATTTACGAGCTGGGGAATCTTGAACGAGCTTACTGCAGAAAGAAACATTCTTAGAAGTCAATTTGCGCTTATTTTTTAGACTAAGCATCGTTGTCCAACAAGCTTTCTCTTCTTTGTCCCAACGCTTCTTCTCAAGTTCCCAATTATCACCTCCGTCTCGCCACAAGTGGAAATAGGCATCAAAATGAGCAGTCGTGATTCTTCTGAGAGATCGAATTAGCAGACCAACATGCTTGGAGGCGACGGAGAAACGGAAGTGGCGATCACTTTGGTAAGTGACATGAAAACCAGCGGGAGCGCCTCCCAGACAGCAGTGCAAAGCCAAAGCAACTGAATCTTCAGTGAGACGAAAAAGAAACCTTCTGAAGACCACGAGCAGAAAGAAAGAGCCATCTGGCGAGGAAGAAGGATGATGCACCGAGGAAGAAAACTTGTGCATGACCTCAGCTTCGAAGCGCTTACCCAGGGAGAAGTCCCACTCTCTGACCAGCAATGTAAGAGCAGGGTCCTGCTCGAGTTCGATGAGAGCGCCCGGAGGTTGCCGAGCCATCAGATGCGACCTAGCCGGAGAGGTGCCTCCCGGCCCTCCCCAGAGATGCGCCGGATGCAACCGGGGATCAACAGCTATGGGGGAGAGGCGAGGCGAGGTTGTTGGCGCACTGCGGGGGGAGGGGGCGGCTGCTAGAGCGGAACGGGAGGGCGAGAGTGCCGGCTGCGCGCAGGAGTAGCGTGAGCGAGACAGCGCGCTGGCTGGCGGCGAGGGCGAGCGCAAGCGAGGCGGCGCGCGGGCCGGCGGGTTGGACAAGCGCTAGTGAGGCTGCGCGTGGGCCGGCGGCCGACACGAGCACGGCTCCATCCCCGTCGGCACTGGAGGCTTTGTTTGCAAATTGTGAATCCAGGTCTCTGCTGTTACTACGGCTGTTATGGTTATCGTGATGCCATTTGTCATCCATAATGACAACATGCGATGATCAAGGAGATCACTGCTCTTGAGAGCACTGGCACATGGGATCTTGTTCCTCTTTCTTCTCATGTTCGTCCCATCACGTACAAATGGGTTTATAAGATTAAGACTTGCTTTGATGACTCTCTTGAGCATTATAAGGCTCGTCTTGTAGCCCATGGCTCTCAGCAGGAGCACAAGCGTGACTCTGATGAGACTTGCCCCTATGGCTCACATGACCACTGTCGAAGTCTTCTTGCTGTGGCCTCTATTTGTGCATGGTCTATCTCTCAACTTGATGTGAAGAATGCCTTCCTTAATGGTGTCATGGTGAACTGCATGAGGAGGTGTATATGCAGCCACCCCCTGGGTACTCTGTTCCTGAGGGCATGGTTTGTCATCTTTGCCATTCTCTTTATGGCCTAAGAAAGCTCCTCGTGCTTGGTTTCAGCGCTTTGCCTCCATGGTCACTATTGCTGGTTTCTCTCCTAGCACTTATGATCCTTCCTTGTTTATCCATACTTCATCTTGTGGCTAGACCCTTATTGTCCTATATGTTGACCCTCTTCGTTACTTTCTTGGGATTGAGGTCTCTTCCTCTTCCAAGGCTTTTATTTGTCTCAAGAAAAGTACATTTATGATCTTCTGATCTTTCTTCTCTCACTGATCAGCGCACTGTAGAAATGCCCATGGAGCTTAATCTTCATCTTTTCCCCATTGACTGTGAGCCTCTTGCTGATCCCTTACGGCTACATTGTTGGGAGGCCTGCCCATTTCAGTCAGTTTGTTTCTGCTCCCACTCAGCTCCAATATAGTCATCTCCTTCCTTTTTCGCATTATCTTTGGAACCATTTTTTGTCGTATGTTCTTTCTACGCTTTAGCTCTCTCCAGCTCCAAGCGTACTCTGATGCTACTTGGGCTAGCGACTCCTCTGATCGTCGCTCTCTTTCTGCCTACTTTATTTTTTCTTGGTGGCTCGCTCATTGCTTGGAAGACTAAGAAGCAAACAATTGTTTCTCGTTCTAGTGCTGTAGTGCAAAGGCTGAGTTGCGAGCTATGGCCCTTGCTACTGCAGAGTTTACTTGGCTATGGTGGTTACTTGAAGATTTTGGTGTCTCTATTTCTGTGCCAACACCTCTTCTGTCTGACAGTACTCTGGTGAAGCATGGGCTCACTAAGCATATTTGGTGTTGATGCTTCTTGCACTCAGGCACAGGTGCAAGATGGTGTTGTTGCACTAAGCTTTGTGCCCTTAGAGCTTCTGTTGGCCGACTTCTTCACGAAGGCTCAGACAAGAGCCCAACACTGTTTCTATTTACGATTGATCCACCCTGAGTTTGAGGGGGGGGTTAGGTGTATATGTACTTTCCTCTTTGTTTAAGGGTCTTTATGCATTCCTGCCTATGTACATATTTGGCCTTTAGCCTTTTTTTTCAACACAAGCACAGTTCCAAACAGATTTCACCTACCTAAGATGGATACCAACATAGACCATGAAATCTATTTGAACCATTACTCTTCAAACAATTTTGGTCCTGCAGAGAAATTTGATTCTGAATTTTGATGAAATCTTCGTAATTTAAGTGTCATTAGTGTAAAAGGTAATGGATAGGGGAATATTTACAAAAATTCTCATACTTTTACAAACTGTATTGGTAATTTGATTTTTCTTTGCAGATGCAAAAAATTGGATTGCAACCATCAAATTTTACATATGACGGCTTTGTTAAGACTGTGATAGCTGGGAAAGGAATTGCATATGCCAACAAAGTGGTATGCTACCAGCAGCTTTGCTGTTTATGATCCTGTAGCCTGAAAGGACATCTCACTAAATTGATGATGGCATACACCATTTTTTTTTTAATTTTTAATTAAACCAATTAGTTGTATTGCTCTGATTTCCATTAGGCCATGTTCGGTTGGAGGGGATTGAATCCCCAAGTGGAACCAATCCAGAGAGGGATTGAGTGGATCCCTCCCTTGTCACTCAAACCCCTTGAGGATTAAATCCCTTCTTTCCCATTCTCACTCTCCGTCCAAATGGTGTTCGGTTAATCCCTCTCTTCTTCCCCTGTTCAGTTGTATTAGGTCGTCAAGCACAGTTCCAGCTTTTTTACATAGATATACATACATCTTACTGTTAATACATGCATGACAAATGTACGAATAAAGCATTAGATGATGAGAATATGGACCTAGCTAGACAATGAACTGAACATGACGAGAACATGGATCTATGGATCTAGACAATAAGCTCATAAATAAAATATTACAAGTCTCAAAAGACTAGTACGTCTCAAAAGAACTGAACATGACGAGAGACATGGATCCTCGTCATGGATCTAGACAATGATGCATTTCGCTATTTGGCAGAACAGCTGTGTACAGAACAACACCCTTCACCTTGTCAACCTCCTCCCGCAACAACTAGTCCAGTACATGCCTACCAACAAAAAGAATTAAGGTCCCAAAGAATTATTAGTTTCTGACAAATTATCACATATGGGGATGAAAAAAATAATATGCAATCATATAATATACTCCCTCCGTTCTAAATTATAAGTCGCTTTGACTCTTTTGGTACATCCATTTTACTATGTATCTAGACATAACATATTTTTAGATACATAGAAAAATGGATGTACAAAAAAAGTCAAAGCAACTTATAATTTGGAACAGAGGGAGGAGTAATTAAACAATATGAAATTGAAGTATGAGACATGTTTGCCTCAATGCAACCAAACACAAAAGATACAGTTACACTGATACAAAATTGCAATTATGGCCATTGTCCTCTTTTCAGAGGTTAAGGCAAACAAATCGAAACATCATTTATACTATAATATCATAAAATTAATGGGGATAAGTAACACCATTCAGTGGCACTATGTTTAAACAAATAATAAGATATCTCGACACTATATAGAGAGCAATCACAATCGGCATTCGGAAATCACACACAAACAGCTTCAGAAGCATGCAAGAACTAGTAGTACTGAAACCAGTGTCTGGCTGTCTGCAAGATATGCTTTATGTAACAACAAAAGGTAGAAGAATGAAGAGTAGACAGATAGGCCTGAAAGAACTTTACTCCCACTTCATAATATACCATTGCATAATCAATCTTCAAGGGTATGTTGACGTGCCAACATTAAAATTCATGAGTAAACTGACTATCAGTTAATTTAGAACTCCATGCAGCTTCTTTTTAATAAAATGCCAAGAAAAAAATATGTTTAAAACTGAGTGATAGTAGAATAAACATGAACTGGTCAGACATGCATACTAACGATTATTTTGTAATTTGTAGATTCAGCAATCTAGATTGGTCATGGTTGGTTGCACTAGTTTGCTTGAGACTTGGGGAGATGTCTGGTAACTCAAACATATTAATAGTCTAACAGAGATCGCTAGAAGCAAAAAGGAGAAAAGCCATTGAAATTGAAACATGATGGTTAATCGTGATAGCTTGATGCACAGGCCGCATGCTGATGCATTAACATTCAATGATGAACTGATGCATAAACTGAATATTCAGTATGTTGCAAGCTCTCATACAAACAACGCCTATGCCTACTGTTCTAGTTAGTGTAATTTTAAGATTCATACTGAAAATTCACAAGTAGAAGCGCTCGTAGTAGTCAGGGATGAAAATAGAATTCACAAAATTGAGTCTTCCTTGCCGGTCTAAGAAAATAATGAATAAACCAATTAATCTCTCGCGGATAAAAATAACCGAGCTGGATCGAACAACCGTCATAGAACCGTCCGCTGAACTAGCTAGAACGGAGACAGACAGAACATTGCCTCATTGGTCACCGCGGAGGTCACCCGGTGTGCTTGTCAACTCAAGAACCCTACAGCATGGAAGAGGTGAGGGGAAACTTACAGGCGAGAAGGTGGCTACCTGAGGGGACGGCCACCGCCGTGAAGATCGCCGCGTTGCCGTTGTCGAAGCCTCCAAATCTTGCTGCCGCCGAGATGCCGTTGTACCTCGCCTCCGCGGCGATGCTTCCCCTCGGCGCTCGTAGCCGACGCGTCCCCTGAAGCGCTCCAGCCGTCGTGAGCCCTCCGCAACGATGCGAGGACCTAGCGACCTGGCAGCGGGTTGTGCGCTCGCCTCCATGGGGAATTGTTCCGTGACTCATGCGGAGTGGGTGGAAACCAGGCTGGGGTGGAGGGTAATCGCCTGGAATAGGATGGGGCAGAATCCTCGGGTCGGCTAACCAAACGCCACTTTCACGGTGAGCCGGGCTTGAATCCGGTTTGGGAGCATCCCTGTGGATTGGGCCGCGATCCCCACGGGGAATGGCCTAACCGAACAAGGCCTTAAAGTAGATTGAGACTCTGTCCGATTATTATTAAGAATACTGCAATGTTAAGAATATTTTTACCTACTCTCCTCAAAAGCCACTATGCAAAATTGAGCTATACCTGTAATATTGCTATAATGTCCTCTAACTATGGTCCATTTTACTTGCTTAAGACATCGTTAGTCTTGAGTGTGCATGTCTGGCTATTACATTTTCTATATGCCAACAAAACAATAAAACTATAATATAGCAGCACTTTAATATTACATTATCACTTTTACGCGACAAATTTAAGTACTTTTACATGTATTGAAAATTTGAAAGGTTTGACTTCACAGTCCACATATCCGGACAATATCAATTTTATTTGGAGATAGCATTATTTTCTCACTTATATCTTATATTCATATGTTTTCCAGATTAAAGCCATGGAGAGAAGGGGCTTTGGACTTTACAGTGATACACTTGCTGCTCTCTCAGTAGGTCATAGCAATAGTTCACAGTTGGATTTGGCTGAGGAACTTTTGGAAAGAATTTCAGATATAAAACCAAAGCATATACGTGCCTTTAATGCTTTGCTTTCTGGATGTGCGATTATGGTAATGCATTGAATCTGGAAATAGATTTTATGATATTGGGTTTCTGTCCCTTCCGCTGAATCTTCAAATGCTTGATGCTCTACATAACATCCACATCCACAGAAAGTGGATTTCTATAGCTGTCATTGCACCAGCCTGTCAAATTAAAGTTTCTGTTTCATTAATAAGAAGAATGAACTAAACCTCTCCCCCTCCCTGCTTTTCTTGGTAGAATGAACCAGAAAGAGCTGTGCGCATACTAGCTAAAATGAAACATGTGAACATGAAGCCAACTCTCAGGACATATGAACATTTGTTTTCTCTGTTTGGAAATGTAAATGTTCCTTATGAAGAAGGAAATGTGCTCTCTCATGTTGATGTTTCCAAAAGGATAAGTATAATTGAGATGGACATGTTTAATAATGGAATCCAACACAGCTTTGTGTCTATGAAGAACTTGGTAAGCCTTCTTTCCTTGTACTGTAGAGATCTAAGATATTTGGCAATAGCATGTATCCAGTTAGAAACCAATTCCATTTGTTGGTCTTTTCACATTGTCCACATCATGCTTTAACTTGTCCGAATAGGAAAATAGCTGATTTATACTTGTCTTAATCTTCTCTGTTTCTATCTAAAATTCCCTGTGAACTGTGACAGTTATTACTTAAAGGTTATAAGTCCACTACTATTTCCAGTGGTCAATTTAGTATATTTTTATGGTAATCGGAAGCACCATCTGAACAGGACATACCATTGTTGTTTTGTCAAAAGTCTGAATATTTTCTCGCCAGCTAGTTCCCACTGGATGTCATAACCCAAAATCTTGCCAGTTAGTTCTCACAGACAGTTTACTGATTGAATTATCATCATGCCATCTATAAAAGTTTCTGGTATTGGTTGTGGTTTAACTTGCCAGTTACATCCCTCAGTGCTTATGCTGAAAAATCCTTAGAATGTTCTATTTATTCTGTTTCAGATACGAGCTTTTGGATCTGAGGGGATGATAGAGGAAATGCTGAGGTACCTGAATATAGCAGAAAATATTTTGTGGAACATAAATCCTTATCAGAAGAGTGATCTATACAGCATTGCGTTGCATGCTCTGGTTGATGCAAAGGAAGTACGTATCAACAACCTATTAAGTTTGTTCCGATGTGACAAAATGAGGATTATTTTATCTCTTCTCTTTGTAAAGCATGTAAATCTAGTTGTTACAGCTATTTTGGCTCATTTAATCTCGCTGAATTTGATGGGGCTCGTGTTGGGTTTTAACTCTAGCCTACCTCAACTTGCTTGGGACTAAAAGGCTTTGTTGTTGTTGTTGTTGTTAATCTCGCTGAATTTGATGGGAGATCCCAAGTGCAGTCACCAGTTATGTTGTAGTTACGGTGTTATGCAACCACCAAAGAAATTTTAGTTACAGTGTTAAGCAATCACCGCTAAATTGGGCATGGAATCAATAATAAAAAAGTTTCTAAATAATTCAAGATTCATTCACTTTACTTTGCTTATTTGCAAAATTCAGGTTCAGATTGTTTCTGTGTTATGGATTATATATCATGCAGTTCTTTTCTTTTGTTCTATGTAAAGCTATTAGTACATTTGGAGTTTTTAGTTGAAATTTGAAAATACTCCATCCGTTCTAAATTGTAAGTCATTCTAGCTTTGTCCTAAGTTAAACTTCTCTAGCTTTGACAAAGTTTATAGAAAAATGCATAAACATCTACAGCATCAAACTAGATTCATTAGATACACCATGGTATATAGTTTGATACCGCAGATGTTAATGTACTTTTCTATAAACTTAGTCAAAGTTAGACAAGTTTGACTTAGGACAAAGCTGAAACAACTTACAATTTGCAGTGGAGGGAGTATGCTACAACACTCCATAGACTGTATATTGTCAAAGTTTTCGTATGGGAACTGGTTCATGTTGGTTTGGTACTTTAGTGCCAAACTGAAATTTCATTGCATGACCGCATTTTGCAGATATTGAACTTGTGTTATAAATCTTGATCCATGTTTCTTTTCTGGTTTGCAGACTCACAGAGCAGTAATGATCTTCAAAATCATGAAATCATGCAACCTTCCAACTGATATTTCAATTTATAATACCATGATAGAGTGCTGCAAATGGCTGCCATGTTTCAAATCAGCTAGTGCTTTGCTGTCTTTGATGCTCCGAGATGGCTTCAATCCTACGGTTGTGACTTTTACATCACTCCTGAAGGTAAGTCTGGCTAAGAATAATACATATATCTTTTAGATGTATCATATTACCGATTACATATTAGTCGGGTTGACTTTTAGTGGTCCGATTGATCTCATGTCTTTTTCATGATGTAAGATAGGTTGTATTAGCAAATGATAATTTTGAAGGGGCTCTGGATCTGCTTGATATATGCAAGATTGAAGGACTTCAGCCTGACATACAGATTTTCAACACAGTACTCTCACGTGCATATGCTAGAGTATGTTTATGATAGAAATCTTATATTTTTCTTCCCCAGCTAAAGTGATGCTGAAGTTAAACTCATTTTGGACATTCTTCACAGGGTCAAATTCATGTCCTTGAATATATTGTGGAGTGTATACACCAAGCAAAAATTCAACCTGACCCATCAACACTTTGGTACATATTTTGTGCCTACGAGGAGCATGAACTGTACAATACTGCAATTGAGGCATTGCTAGTCCTCAGCATGAGAATGATATCTGAGGATGCCAGCATTCTTAGTGAGAAAAGAATTGCTTTTGAAGATCTAATCCTCTGTGAAGAGCCTGATGCTGAATTGAGGATCATAAGGGCATTCCAAGCAGGTGAAGAATTTCTCGCGACGGCTTTACTGAACCTAAGATGGTGTGCCACAATGGGTGCCACCATATCTTGGTCACCAGAGGAGAGTCTTTGGGCAAGGAGGCTGGCATCCTCGTATGATGCTAACAAGAGACCACATATAAACCCCTCGGATGTTCCCAAATCTTGGTGAAGGAATCCACTTAACCACCCATATTGGGAAGCTTACTGAGACACAGCAGAGTTATTGGTCTCTGTCTAGCGGCTCACAGAATGAAGGCAAATCTCTCTGTTGAGTATGATGACAATGTTGTGTTCTGTTTTGCTGGAAGGCGATCGGGCCTCCCTACCTATCGTGAAGCTTGATCATGAAACAGGCAGCGGTTTATCATTTCCTTCCCTTCCGCAAGGGGCTGACATATTGGTCTTGTTGTACCGTTATCAGGCTTCTAGGTCAACAGCTCTATGATCTGATTCCTTATATCACTTGATAGGCTGCTCACTTGATTGTACTGGCTGTCGGGAGCATTAGCTTTGCAAAATTTGTAGGAACATATATGACGGTGACGAAGATCGAGTCACATGGCAGTGACAGAAGAATAAGAGGTGTTACAAGGTACAATAGCTGGAACCCAAAACTTGTTCTGGTTATTTTGAAGGCGTTTGGATTTTGGAACGATGATGTTATAATTACAATTTATTCTGACGAAGGTAGATTGTAGAAGGATGGTGATGCATCTGGTATCACTGATTGACCTGTTACCGCGTGGTACTGGTTTGGTCTTTGTTGTACATCAGTTGTTTTCTGGCAGGTCGTTTTGTTGACTTTGTAGCTGCTCGAATAAGAGACCAACATGACATTATTCCATCTCAGTCATAGATCATTTGTCCGTCATAATTATCATCCACTTGGTTTTCCTCCCCTTTCCATATGGTTTTGCACCTTTTTATGCCTTGTTCGGATATACATGTATCCACCTCAATCCACGTGTTGAAGTGGATTGGAGTGGAAATTTTCACTCGACTCCACCTCTACACATGTGGATTTATGTAAATAATCAGCCTGTTCGTTTGTTGGTTTCAGTCAGGGCTTATTAGCCAGCCAGCAGTGTTTTCCTCTCATAACAAATCAGCACCAGTCGGGCTTATCAGGCTAGAAACTAACCAGCGAATGGGCCGAATGTGTATCTAAACAAGGCCTTAATTATACAGCTGTTATCATGTACTCTCTGTTTTAAATTATGAGATGTTTTGATTTTTCTAAATTATATGGCTTTTGCTATGCACTTAGATATAAATTATGTTTATATGCATAGTAAAGTAATGTATCTCGAAAAGGCAAAAATCTTATAATTTAGAATGGAGTCTTTTCTGGGTGTTTTTATTGAAATAATTGTTTCCCTCTTTTGAGGCGGAATAATTTTCCTTTTTTTTCTTGTAATGGATGAATTTGTTTATGGGACTGCTAGCACCCAGACGTTCGGTCCGCGTTCGGACGTCGGCCAGTACCCTGCTTCCTAACCTGCACCACGGTGCGCCCACATGGGGTTCGCACAACTCGGACCGCACGCGCCGCTGGCCCGACAGACAACACGTGGAGACCGCTTGACACTCGTGCCTCGGATGCTTTCCACGCGCTTGCAGGCAGGGACTGCTTGTGCTTCGTACGCTTTCCAACGTCCTAGCAGCTGCAGTGGACGGCTATGGCAGGTGGTCCCAGTGCAATATCAGACCTACTTTTACAATATCTAGATAAAACACTTGCAATATACTTCCGAAATAGTTGAAACACTTGCAACGTGCGTCTGAAACACTTGCAAAACATCTGAAACATTGCAAACGCATGCAACATCCAGATCTAGTTTTGCAACATACAGATAAAACACTTGTAAGAAACACTTCAAACATACGCTTGCAACATACATGTTATGCAACATCCGGATATATTTCTGCAACATCAAGATGAAACACTTGAAACATACGTCCGAAACAACTAAAACACTTGAAACATTTACATACAACATACACAGTATCCAGATGAAACACTTTACAACTTCTGAAAACACCTGAAACACTTGAAACGTGGCTTCACTGGCAGCCATGGCCTATCTGGTGGGGAACTGCGGCAGCCAGCAAACGGTGCTTAGGTGCAGTGGAGAGGGAGAATGATGGTAGGCAAACGGCTGGGCGCGGTGAAGAACGCCGCGCCGGAGCCGTCGCCGTGGACCACGTCGCGTCAGCTCGAAGAACTCGACGACGAGTGGTGAGTGGCGGTGGGGAGACATGAAGGCAGGCGGCGGTGATCGGGCGCGGTGCAGCACGCCGGTGCATTGCGGCCATGGCGGTGCGGTCGCGGCAGCGCGGTCGCGGTCGCGGTGGAGCACAACGCGGCGATGCGTGCGCGGAGAGTGGGTTCGAGAACGGATGTGGGCACAGCGGCGATTCGAGAGGATGGTGAGAGAGATAGATGCGTCTTGCAGATGACAGCGTTGCCTGTTGGATCGTTCAGACGGACATCGAGACCCATCGATGTGCGTCCGGACGAGACGGACGCTATGGCCGGAGCATTTTGGCTTGTTTATAGGTATTTGAGAAAATTTCCACGCTCCAAACGGTCAACAAAGCGGTTGATCCTTTGTCCATCTGCGTATCGTTGCATGCAGATTTTGATAAAAGAAATCAGAAGTTCAAGAGTTCAGCTTCAGAATTTCTGGGAAGATGAGATGTTTCCCACAGGCCGTTGAATGACCGGGGTTTATCCAGATTCCAGACCAAAAGACACCACGAGCTCCGGTTGTGGTGTACTAGGCACTAGCAGATGATCTCGGCCGTCAGACTCTTAATCGGATGGTGAACGGCGGTCGTTACCGCTAGCGGTCTCAGCGAGGTGCAGCCGTGCTGGGCGTCCGTCCGCTCTGGTCCTGGTCGCGGTCGGACGCTCGGCCGCGATCGTGCTCTCCTCTCTCCACCGCGCGGTGAGCTGTGTCGTCACGCCTCGCAAGTCGCAGGCGACACGGGCGTGTCTGGGTCTGGTGCAGGTCCAGGTGGTCGTGTCGCCGCCTCCGCTCCCGCCCCTCGCCCCTCGCCCCTCCGCGTGTCACTCGCCGCTTCTCTTCCATTCCACCCCGCCCCCCGGCCCTTCTCCCTCCTCGCGCGTCGCGATGAAATAGGCGCAGGCTTGAGCGAGAGGACCGCGCTGGGCACCACCGCATGCTAGAGAGCGGCGACGGGAGGCAGGGAGGGGAGCCGAGGACGATGGCGCTGGGCGTGGTGTTCCACGGCGCGCAGCTGGCGCTGGATCTGGCGGTGGCCGGGATGTCGCTGGCGGTGGCGCTCGCCTTCTTCGCCCTCGTCACCACCGTGCTATGCTCCGCGGCGTTCCTCCACCATTCTAAACCCGCCGCGGCGTCATAGCCGGCACCACCGCGCCGCAACCTCTGGGTACATTCCTAATCGTACGCGCATGTTTCCCGATCTCACTGGGTTCATTTCGTGGCCAGTAGCCTGGGTTTTGGAACAAATTCGTCTGCGTTGTCTATGCTTATTCTGTGTGGAACTGAACAATGGCGCTCGGTGCTATGTTTCTGAACTGTAGATGGGAACATGAGATCATTCAGGAATGTTAACCGCTATCTCCCTAGCATTTGAGTGTGCATTGTGGCTGCGTTGCATTAGAATCTCCACCCTCCATTTTTTGTATATAAGACGAAAAGGCCGTACTAACTACTAAATGGGATATTGAAGCAATCTCATCTGTGATCCCGAAATTTAAATTTAGGCTCTAGCAGTTGCCAGATGTGTACATATGTTTGCAGAACAATTTCACAAACTAAGCTAGTAGGTAGTGAATTTTATCTTCCATGTTGCCTTGGTTGTCTTTTACTCTTTCTTGTGACTAGTTCCCCGGTAGATAATTCAGAGTGAAAAGCTCCTTCCATTTGTGCCTATGGTCCTTCACAGGTCCTGTCCACCGGTTGAGGACTGTGGTATCTCTATATTCCAGTTTGGGCCATTCATATACTACTCAAGATTATCCTGTCTGGGTAACTTTGAATCTTTGATGTATGAAGTTTCCTTTTCAGTTGAATTGTGTATGTTCAAGGTTTCCATAGAAAGGTAAAGGTTTATACTGCTATAGGCACACGTTATCAGCAGAGGGATATGAACTAGCATCTACCATGACACTTCTTTTCTCAGATACGCAGGAGGACTGCACATCATTGCATTAAGAAGGAGAGAAAATATTTACAAGACATAAACTCACACTACACCTTACTTGTTTATGGAACAAACGGGACTGAAACTGAAAAAAACACTCAACTGGAACAACTATCTACCATGACACTCGATGAGGTAGATTACCCATAAGACTAACCACAACGTCAGTGTTCTACCGATGCTGAAAGAAGGGAGAGAACGTTGAAGCATCAAATCATCCCATTGTGCTCACCGATGCTGAATCATAAACAGAATGAGTCGAGTAGTCTTCTTGCTTCGATGCTGAGCAAATAAACAATTATTTCACAGCCAGCTGTTGGTTCCTACCCTGGGATGGTTCTGATGATTTGGTCTAAGCATCAATGTAACAATGTTTTGCTGATGGTTCCTGGCATGGGCATGAGCTGGCATACGGAGAATTTTTTCAGCACAGATCGTGGTTAGTCTAAGTGTCGATATTGGCTCCTCTGTGGTGCTGAAATTTTGGCTCTATAAGTTGCCAAATGTGTACCTATAGTTGCAATTTCTGAACATTATTCCCTGTTCGCTTGGCTGATAAGTCATGGCTGAAAGTACTGTTGGCTGATTTGTTGTGAGAGAAAAATACTGTTCGTTGGCTGAAAAAGTACAGCTTATAAGCCAAGCGAACAGGGCTAGGTTGGGAATTTGCGTCTCCCATGTTGCACTGGTTGTCTTTTTTGTGATTGGTCCCCTAGTAGATAATTCAGGGTGAAAGATCCTGATTGACATTCACCGAAGATTGTGCCTAAGGAGCTTCAGAGGTCCTGCATCTGCCTACCTGTCAAGGACTGTGATACCTCTATATTGTAGTTTGGGCATTCAGATACTATGACAATCCTTTCTGGGTAACTTTGCTGTATGAAGATTTCTTTTTTCTTGAATTGTGTATGTAATATGTTCAAGGATTCTGTAGAAAGATGAATATTACAAGGCACACATTATGAGCAGTGATAATGAACTAGCATTTATCATGACAGTTGACATTGTAGATTTGTTGTATGCCCATAAAGTGTCTATATTGACTTTCATCTTTCATCCTAGATATACTGTTTGGTTCACCTTGTATCCACTAGTCCAATCAAATGCTTCAACTCTTTACCATTCCCTTTAATAAGGCTTTCTTGCTCTATTTCAGGGATGATAATACTGTTGCTGGTCTAATTCCTCCACATCAATTGCAGAGAAGGAGGTGCTTTAATCGACTGCTTTAGAGCACTTGCAGATGCAAAGAGTAGCACATCAGGTGATAGCTATAGGCTCTTGTACCACATGTGTATGTTTCTTTATGTTGGTTTGTAAACTAGATGTTTGTACTTTGTACTATAGTTTTTGTAATCAGTCTCTTTCCAGATTTACATCTCATATAAATAGTATGTGCATTGTTTAATTCGCATGTTTAACAGCCAAACATGAAACCCTTGTGTCAGTTGATTTACTTTGAGGGCTCTAGCCCCTTTCTTTCTTCTTAATATAATGAAGTGCAGCTCTCCTACGTTTTCGAGAAAAAAAAAGTTGATTTACTCTGGATGCTTCATCAGCAATATAAATTTCTCTCTTTCATAGAGTTTATTAGCTCTTTCTCTTGGTAAAATTGCCACTTTGCAGCCATATAAAGACATTTCAAATCTACACATACTGGGAAGAACAGTAAAAAACAATTAAGTAGAGATCAACCTTCGAAATATATCTGGAGAGAGTGCTCTGTTAATATCTATATAAATGCATGCATTTTTTTATATGATGCTACGAGGATAGCTAATAAGAGTATGTAAGGGGTACATATTTGCCCTAAGATCCCAAAAGCTTTGCATTCCCCATGCTTCTACAGAGATTTTAGCTAGATTGTAAATGGTTGAGAGACATCTACAAGGGTTCTACAGCAGTTACCTAACGAAGCTTGTTCGCGAAGAACAAGAACTACGTCTCTTGTTGTGGCCCCTTCTAGTGGTCTTCTCTTCTCCTTTTTTCATCTTGCCTGCTTTTTTGTCACAGCTGTTAGGGAGCTTGGTACGTATCTCATCTTGCTCACCGCTATCGTGTTCATGTACGGAATTGTCTCTTTTCTCATGAATTTTCTTTTCTTTGCCATTAAGCACCTTCACTTGAGCTGGTCCTGTGGAAGCATCGGAAGCTAACGAATCATAATCTCCATCATCAGAATCCATGTCGTCGTTTTTGCTTTTACCATTGCTACAGCCACTGCCAACATTACTCCCTTTGCTGCCATTGGCTTTGAGATCATCACTATTCACTGGGGAGCCCAGGTACATCGTCCACCCAGATTCGTTACTGTTGCACTCTTCAGCATTGTCACTGGAGGACTCCATAACAAGAGAGTGCAGGGACACAGAAAGAGAGGCCAAAGACAACACAAGGAAAGGAAGACGAAATTATGAGAGAACTGAGGGAGCACACGACACACGCTAATACTTCTTCAGAACACCTCAACAACCCAACTTCGAAGAAGGCATTCTTGTTCTCACTCCTTGACTTGCAGCCTGAGAAGAGCATCCAAGCCCTCTCGTCTCTCTCTCTCTCTCTTCAAAGGGCAGACAATGCAGGGTAGGGGTTGAATTCCATGAGGCTAAGAACTATGCAAGGTGGTTGCTTGTGACTGTGTGGAAGCTTGTCATGGGGCTGAAGAAAGGATGGCAGTGCCTTTAAATTGGAAAGGCAGCCTATCCTTCCAACTGTTCCTCATAACTTTCTCAACTATTTCTGTACCTTCTGTTGCTACCAAAGCCAGGGGGAAAACATTTGCTTGCAATGCAGTGTTCCAGGTATTTCCATCTGTAGTCCATGTGGCTTTGGCCTCTCACCTCATGGTGGGGGCCTGTCAGAGGTATAGGTGCATGGGTTGGGCTATGATTTGGTAGGATTGGAAGATTAGTATGAGGCTGGCATAGCTCAAAAGGTTTCTTGTCGCTGCTGTGTCTGCCTGTCATGCAAATGCGTAACTTGTTTATGACACATCTCCCTTGCATTACAGGACCAGGAGAACATGTCTTTTGTTTGCTTTAGCATCTGCGTGCAGACAATTACCAATTAGGCTCAGCCATTAGATTCCTGTGCCGTATTTTTTCAGTTTTATCGTAATAATCAAAGGTTGCATTCTCTTTGTGAACTCTTGAGACTGCAGTTCAATGGTTACTGACATCCCAGAGATGCTGAAAGTTTGTTACGTCAATACTGACAGGCTAATTGCACCGGTATATTTTATTCCGCTGACCTGGTTGTTTTTGTGTGGATCAGCAGATGCCAAACTTGAGTATGTGGCATCCTTTCCTCCAAAGTCGAGGAACGAACAAGGCTGCGACTACCTCTGCCCGCCTGAATTGATCCTGAAGCTTTCAGGAAGTCAGAGGCTGTCAGGGACAAGTGCTTGCGGTACTAGTAAGAAAAATGCTGAGCCCAACCCAGGTTGATGCATTTTTTGATGGTCATAGTCTCAGAGAGATGATAGAGTACTGAACCCCTGAACCTGCTCACGTGCGTCTTTTTCCACCGGCCATTCATTTTATTTTCTGACGAATGACACAAGGCACTGCCAATTTGATTAAATACTCTGGTCCAGTTTGAATTATGTTCGTAGTGGCCCATGTGTTATTGACATGAGATTGTTAGATTCAAACCCATTTACACCATGAGATTGTTAGCTTCAAACCTATTTACACGAAGCTGTGAACAAAATCGACAGTGGGTTTGTGGGAGTCTAGAGTCCGGTTAACATGAAGTGGATAGAGTGGATTGAGCTGTTTAGACTCCTAAGTTTTATAGTATTACAAGTGGAGGCGGTCAGCACGATCTTGGAAAATTGGGTACTACTCCCTCCATCTGCATTTCCAACTGTAAGACCCTTCCATTTAAATTGTAAGATGTTTTGATTTTTTTTAGATACATTATTTTTATTATGTATCTAGACAGTGGATATGTACATAGCAAAAGCTAAGCCAAAACGTCTTACAAGAGATAATGAATAAATAAAAACAACAAAATACAATTAGAGCATCTCTAAGAGTACCCAAAAGAGTCTCTCAATACAGGAATTTTGGCAAGATTGAAAAATTTTATCTCCATCGACTCCCAAACCCACCCCAATCTTTTGGCACTCGGAAAAAAAAGCGCCCCCACGCGCTTAAAATTGGACGCGTGTATCATCGCCCCAATCTGGAGGTGGAAGGACGTGGGGAAGAAAAAAAAAGTATGATAGGGTTCCTGATGCAAATGTATGAGAGAAATAAAGTATAAAAGTGGTTAATGTGATTTAGAAATAGTTTAAAATTTCTGATGTAAAATTATCTTCTATCTTTTAGATGCAAGATTTTGGAAACTGTTAGAGTTGTAGCTTTTTTATATCGCCCAATATACTTTGCAAAGGTTTGAAAAAACTGTTTTTGGGAGTACTTTTTTAATACTGATGGAGATGCTCTTGTATCAGCATTGCAAACTACCGCAGAAACAGGTGGAAAAAGACAACCAAGACCAGGGCCCAACAGGATCCACATCCGCGATGCAATCGAGGGCCTTCCTCCCAATCATATTATCGGCCCTGCGCCATTGCCTGTGGATCCCAATCATTGCCCTGTTCATAGATAAAAGTACTATTGGTTGATTTGTTGTGAGAGAAAAATATTGTTCGTTGGTTGAAAATGTACGACTTATAAGCCAAACAAACAGGGCACATATTATCAGCCCTGCGCAATTGCCTGTCGAGGTGCTAGAGGCCAGCCGTCATCGTTGATGAGTCCTCAAATATGCTTCCTAAAGTCATGGAAGGCAAAAGGACAGCCAAGAGAGCACCATCATCAGCACTGTAGGACTAGCCTAGAGCCTACCAGGCTACCACGGCAGCCACTACTAGCTAACTAGGTCCTTGTTTAGATTGCAAATTTTTGTAATCTGGACACTGTAGCACGTTTCGTTTGTATTTGATAAATTTTGTCTGATCATGGACTAACTAAGCTTAAAAGATTCGTCTCATGATTTACAACCAAACTGTATAATTAATTACTTTTTTTACCTATATTTAATGCTTCATACATATATCCAAAAATTGATGTGATGGAGAGAGAATGAAAAAACTTAGAACTTTGAGGCAATCTAAACAAGGCCTAGCACGTCGGTGATGGAGGTTGTATTGGACTGCAAGTAATAAGATCCCAATCATATTATCGGCCCTTAACATACTTTGTCTGTAGTCATCGTGCTATTAAGAGAGAAATTCAATATCGTATACTGAGATAAGGATGCTCGCCAAGGTCTAGATAACGGCGGCGGATTTAGAATGGCCGTTTAGGAGTGGCTTGATACTTTTCTTTTTTTTTTCTCCCTCCTCTTCATTTCCTTCATTTTTTCATGTAAATATACTCCCTCCATCCTTTAATATTTGTCGTTCTAGACTTATACCCAGTTACCAAAGATGGTGGCAAAAAAAACTCTATCACCTTTATGGAGCAATCATTTAACAGCTGCAACTTTAAATGAACAAGCAATCAAACTCTTGTGCGGCGGTGTGGTGGGGAGAGGATATAAGACAGCAGATGCAACTTTAAATGAACAAGTCGTTAATGCTTGGTTCTTGTGAGGCGGTGTGTCGGGGAGCTTATCGTCCTTGCCGGGGATATATGGTCCCACCTAGATGCTTGTTGTCGTCCACAATGGGCTGCAGCAAACCTATCCATCGGTAGAGGTCATGCGTGAGGCCCTAGCGCCCACATGATAGAAAGATTTATGCATAAAAATGGTAGAATAAAAAAAAATGAGTTTGGGTAGCCATATGCATAGCTTGTTGGAGTCAGCCTAGACATGCACAAAACATAAAAAAGAAGCACAGACATGCAAAACATACGAAGAGGAGAGAGGCAAACACAGATTTTATGGGGAAGCGTGCGAGTATGGCGATTTGCTCGGTGCTAGCGAGTTCCCTTTTAGTCATCTCTCTCCTAAATATAGTATAAAAAAATCGTCTCGCTAGCTATTTGAGATGCCGTTGGGACACCCTAAGGCTATAGCCTGCTGCACTGGGCAGGTGGCGTGATGACATGGTACTACATTTACATATAGAACTCATAGCGACAATTAATTGGGGATAACGTTTGAAATCTAGAACGGCGAATAAAAGGTGATAGAGGAAGTATTTAGGTATGTAAATCTTGATACTATTTTTTTATAGATCTAATTAAACTTAAAAAATTAATTCAGAGAGAGAGAGGGGGTAGTACTAAGCATTGACTTAAAAGTTTGACTTCTCAACAAATAAATATCTACCTCTTTTTAGAGGAAGTACTAGTATTCACTTAATAATTTTCTTTAAGGCCAAGATATTTAGGGGCTGTTTAGCACCGCTCCAGCGGGCTCCGCCTCCCTACGCAGTTGTACTGCATTGTTCCTCTGTTCTCTGCTGATTGATCTGATGGATCTGGTCGGTTCGCAAGGCCAGGATGTTGCGGGGCGGGGCGGGGCGGGGCAGGGCCGCGAGCCGCAGACATGGAAATCTTGGGCCAGATTGTGAGAGCGCAGATCCAGGAACAGCGGCCCGTCCGTTGAGTCGTTGAAAAGACTACGCATGTTGTTGTATTGTTAGAGAATCTCCGATAATTCAAAAAAAAAAAGTAATCAATGAGTTTTCGGGTGACTAAAAAGGTTTGCCGCATATAAGTTGATTTTCAAATCGTTTTCAAAAAATCTCGCTACTAAAAGATAAAAGATATTTTGCATAAAAAATCCGAAACTATTTCTGTATCACTTTAACCACTTTACTCATTTTCTTCTCTTGTATTGTTGTACATGTTCTTACTTCTTATTTGGAAATTCTGTTCTTACTTTCTTTTTCCTTCAAGTCCTTCCGCCTCTAGATTGGCCTATATTATGGGTATATTTTCTCACGATTGGATCGACTTTTCTAAGTGCGAAAAGATTAGGAGCTAAGATAAGAGCTGTTGGAGAGCGGGTTTTTTTTTAATCTTGCCAAAAAAAATCAAGATTAGGAATGAGGTTTCAAAACTATTGAAGATACTCTTATCATGTCAGGTCCCAGCAATGAAGTCTATATCCCTAAAATCAAACAAACAAGCCCACATAAGCGAAGGTTAGAAGTTCGGAGTTAAGTATGCTACTGGTATAAAGAATCATATTAGTATTCCCTCCATTTTTATTAGCTTTGTTCTAGGTCAAACATTTATATTTTTAACTATCGATTTTAAAAATTTATATTAGTTCATGACATAAGATTTATGTTTTTAGATTGACTATATGAGAAATACTTTCATTATCTATAATTCATATGTTGTGAAACTATAAGATTTTTTAAAATGGATGGTCAAAGATA